CTGGCTGTGTTTGCACAGCCAGGGAAGGCAGCCTTGCCAACCCAGCAGGATCTGCCCAGTGGAGCCTGCAGGTGTCTGTGCACAGGACACCACAGGACACCCCTGCCTGCTCTGCTCTGTGCTGGGGCACTGCTGCTCCCCCAGCACCAGCACTGCCCTTGGGCCAGGGCTTTGCAAAACAGGGAACTGGTTCTGCCACACTTGGGAAACCTGAGCCCCAGGAGGGCAGGGCATCCCCCCTCTGTGAGAGGCAAAGAAACCAAGCCCCAAACTACAGAAAGTCTGCAATGAGTTCATTCTCCCAGACCCCTTTCCTCAGTGGGAAGGGGGGGGTTGGGTTGGGCTTTTTCCTCTGGAAGGCCAGGATTTTTTGTGGTGCTGTAATCCAGGGAAAAAGCCTTCTGAATTTACAAGGCATTTTCACAAGTAGCACAGCCTACCTTGATATGTTTGTATCCACCTACAGACACATGGTGCTTGGGAAGAGCATGGCATCTCCTTACAGATGGCAGCAGACAGCTCTGTGCCAAAGAAATCTGTATATATTTTTAAAAAATTAATATAGTACCAGAACAGGTGGCCTTTACAAAAACTAAAATGAGAGCAGATGGTACTAACAGAGTAAATGAAAAACAGGGATAAAACAATGACAGCAGATTTCCTCTGGAATAAAATCACCACTTGGATTCCAGTTCCCTGGCAGCAGCTGGCTGCTGCCAGCAGCACACGGGACCTCACAGGGAGCAGGGGCTTGGGAAGGTGCTGGTCAAATTGGAGTTGTCCTCAGGCAGCTCCTCCATCTCCTGTTTCCTGACCACTGAGAATAAAAGCAAAACAAGTGGTTAATTCTAAATGTGACAAATCACCTCTACTTTCATAAGAAAGACCTCTCTGGACCTTTTCCTGTATGAAATCCTGTGTTTCTTTCTCTTGTTGTCATATTTTACTGGCACACACTGTGACATCAGGGGACCTGGGCTTGTTTTTATACTCATTTTGTATTTCTCTTTTTTTTTTAATTAAAACAAAATGTACTGCATGTCACATCTGGAAACTAGTACATGGTTAATATTTAGAAACCACCCTGGATTAAACCTCTTTTCATAGAAATGTTGAGTGTCTTTACTTATTTTAAGACCTGATTTTACTGCTTTGCCTCTGCCCAGCAGAGGGATCAGTGATTTAAGGAACTCCATCACTGTGTGCTGGGGAGGTGGCAGAGCACAGGGGGACCAACCCCAGCTGCTGCCACAGCTCCTGAGAAAAACATCATCTTCGGGGCATAACCATGAAAGAATTGAACCAAGAATTAGTTTCCACATATTGAGACCTTGGGGATACAGAGCTCTCACCTGGCAACTAATAACACTGCAAAAACAGTCCCCTTGGGTTCACCCTTCACACTCACTATAACCCAAAATATACTGAGGTTTTCTGGTCATTTTTTCACCTTGGATCACTCCTAAAGTCAACAGAGGCAGCAAACAAAGTGGCTCATTCGTTGCTTCAGGATTGCTTTACCAGTGAAATGCCTGCCCAGAGAACTCGTTACTGGCTTTTAAGTACTTGATAATTTCATTCATTTCTAAGCAGTTTGCTCCCAGGGTCAAGCACTTGTGTAGGATTCCAGCCTTTTATTTAAAAAGATCTGTTCCCATGACTGAAGTAAAACACAATTCTGTGTTTTCCAAATATCGTTTCATAAAAATAAATTAAAAATAATTACTTTAAAGGCAATTTTGATGGGGGAAGGTGGGGACTGAGTCAGTCTATTGCCCATTTTCTGCCAGCAATATTGCACCAAGATCAGAGTCTGTGCAGAGCAGAGGACAAATCGCCTTGGCTTTTTTGGCTTTTATGTTTGTTTGCTTGTTTTCTTCAACTGACAAGGTCCAAACAGCTCTGGGAGCACTGATTTCTCTGCAGTTCGGGTGTCCTGAGACAAACACAAGCTGCACCTGTGGTGTGCAGCCCTTCATTAAACCCTTTCTGCAGTGTGCCAGCAGTGGCCTCATCACACATCTCCTTTCAGAGCTCCACGTGGGAGCCACTTCCCAAACCCACACAGCCCAATCCCTGCCTTCCTTACAGCTGCCCCCTGGAACTCCTGACCAGCTCTCAGCAGTGCACAGAGCTTCCAACACCGACTGTGGAAAAATCAGGGGAGAGTCAGTGCCAGAGGTTTTATGGGCTGAGCACTGAGACAAAGCCCCTCACGGGGGAGAACACCCAGCTGGCCCCACAGAGGAGTGGGTCATACAGTCACACTGGCTGAGGGGCTCTCACCCTCCTCCTCCTCTCAAAAACCTTTTATATTTATCTGTGGGCTTGTTCAGTCTTGTGTGGTGGTTTTTGGACAGGTGACATTAAGGAATTCAAGACCTTTCCAAGCAGCTTTTTTACATTCTGCCTGAACTAGAGGCTCTGTTGTGCTTTGAGCACTCTGTCCATCACCTCACTTCATTCTGCTTTTCACTTGATCCTGTCCAAAGTTCTCCAAGTCCTCCATTTTCCAGGGACACAGCCATTCCCAGGACACCCAGTGAAAAGCAGTGTTTGAGAGAAACACTCCCACAACCTGGTGTGCTTGTGAGCAGAACACAATTTAATGCTCTGCAGAGCAAGCAGATGGTTCCAGTCATTCTGCTCCTAAGTGTTCACTGTGCCCAATTGTGAGCCTGAATTTTCCAGCTGCATCTCACCCTGCCCAGGGAGCACAGCCTGTGCCACCCAGTGACCATGGACTGACCAACAGCGTGTTCCTGCACCTCCAAAACACCACTGAGCAAACAGCCCCACTGCTGCTGAGCTGAGCCCAGAGCAGCCTGCAGGTTAAAAATAATAGTCAGGCTTCATTCCACATGGGGACCGGGACACAAACTGCCCTGCAAGAGCAAATGCAAGATCTGTATCAGCAAAGGGCACAGCAGCTCCACCTGGCCGTGCTTTGTTCTCCTCAGAGGGAGAATGGATCAAGGAAGCAGAAGACATTTAGGTAAGCACTGAGAAGGTGAATCTTGTAACAAGATGCTCAAGATACCTTTTTGCAGAGAATATTGGTTTCAAAGTCAGGATCTTTAAAAGTCACCACTCATATAAAGAGGACTGCATCAAAAAATCCTCACAGCAACAGAGATTCCTCCTTACTGGAAGAATTCATAGGACTCAATGATTTGTAAAACTTCTGGGTCGGATGGTAAAACAATGCTACCCAGAACATTTAAAATTTATGTGTGGTTTTGTTTGGGGTTTTAGTTTGGTTTTTTTTTAAATAAGTCAATTTTTAAATCTATTTCCTTGAAGAGGAAAATACCAATTCCAGCATAAATTCTGTCCAGGAAACACCTGTGCTTTTATTTTATATATTTTGGACATTTTATATATTCTGTCCATCACGCTGTGTTAGCCTGATCCATGAATAAGAAATCCATTAGTCTTCCCAGGAGACTGAAGTATTCAAAAGTTAGAGAGAATAAACTTTTTAAAGTCTGACAACTGGCAGAGCTGCTCTGGACCAAGGACCCCCAGGATGATGCCTGTTCTTTTCCACACTTCCACCTGAAGTTTCTTAATTTCTAAGTTATATTGTTACATCTATCTCTAAGTAATATTGTTATACTGAGATACTCTCCCCACAGTGGAACCTGCTATTTCAACTAATCCTTCAGAGCTGTTTGCAATTACAGATCTGTCAGTACAGGACCTATCCCTAACCAGTGTTTGGATTGCATCATCCATATTCCCAAATCCTCTCACGATACTCAACCACCTGTGTGTTTCCACCCTCACCTCCAAAGCCCATGCAGACCAAAAATTCCATCAGCATCAAGGCAGAACTTGAAACCCAGAGCCCATGAGGTGTCAGATATTCCCCACTCACTGGGGCATTTCAGCCCCAAAATTCCTCTCCAGTCCCAAACATGCTGCAAAGCACAAGACAGAGCATTCCAGCCCATTGCAATGTCCCAGACAGAGAAATGCTCCCAGAGCAACCCCACCACAACCACTTGAGCAACAAAGGAGTCCATGTGCTTTCTCTTACATCTGACATCTCATCAAGGGCTCTCATCCATGTTTTTTCATGACCTCCTGCATCCATGAGGTTTTCATGCCCCAGTCCCAACCCCCTCAGCTGGGGTAGCTGTGCTGGATGTTTAACCCCTGTGCTGGATGTTTAACTCCTGTGCTGGATGTGTTTAACTCCTGTGCTGGATGTTTAACCCCTGTGCTGGATGTTTAACCCCTGTGCTGGATGTGTTTAACTCCTGTGCTGGATGTGTTTAACTCCTGTGCTGGATGTTTAACCCCTGTGCTGGATGTTTAACCCCTGTGCCACTCTCCTGGATGGAAAGTGCATTCAGCAGCTGCCTGGAGTGCATTATCAGCCCATCAACCACAACACTGGCTGCACTGTGGTGCCTTTTGGGGTGGTTTAACCCCAGCAGCCCCCAAGCCTTCACAGCCATTCTCTCTCTCAGTGGGATCAGGAGAGAATTGCAAAGCTGAAAAGCTGGAAAACTTGTGGCTTGGGATAAAGACAATTTAATGTGGAGCAAAAGCTGTGTGCACAAGCAAAGCAAAACAAGGAATTCATTCCCTGCTTTCCATGGTTGGGCAGGTGTTCAGCACCTCCAGGAGAACAGGGCCCCATCCCATGGAACAGTGACTTGGGAAGACAAACTCCATCACTCCAAACTTCCTCCCTTCCTCCTCCTTCCCCCACTTCTCACACTGAGCACGATGTCCCATGGTCTGGAATATCCCTGTGGTCAGCTGGGGGCCCTGTCCTGGCTGTGTCCCCTCCCAGCCTCCCACACACCCCAGCCCCTCCCCAGTAGGGCCCTACACGGGGCAGGAAAGGCCTTGGCTCTGCTCAGGAATAACAAGAACACCTCTCTATCATCAACACAAACCCAAACACAGCCCCACATCAGCCACTGGGAAGAAAAGAACCTCCAGCCCAGCCCAGCACACCTTTACAGATGCAGACAATGCTTTAGTACTTTAATATGTCCATTTATTAAACAGGAAGTCCTTCACAAATGATTCCATACTATATTGATTGGGTTAAGTGTTAGAAAACTACCATTTTCCCTACATACAAAAATACAGACTTTTACCACTATGAAGAATGATCAGAAGAGTACCATGAAAACCCAAATCTTCCAAGACCAGAAAGAAAAGACAGAAAGACAACTAAAAAAAAAAATTTACAAAAAGTATTGTGCCCATATACAAAAGACTGGGAAACCAAAATGACATTTAAAACTGATAAATACACCATTTAAATTATGCTATAACAGAATGGATTTTAAAAACAGGACTGCTTTCTGTATTGCAAGACATTACAATTCTCCAGCTTGTGTTTTTCATTAGCAGACACCAACAGAAAGAAACACCAACAGACTGAAAAATTGTTACTGGCGTAGGAACAAGGTGGAGGTTCTGTTTTCCTGTACTGAGATTGGTCAAGCATCGAGAGAACAACTTTCACACACAGAGCTGGAAGATGCTGCACTTCCACTGGGCACAGAGGGCACAGCTGGAGGCACCACTGTGGCAAACAGCTGCTTCACCAGCTGGCCAAGTGGTCCTGGAGAACCTCCAGAACTCACCAAAGCAGTGGGAAATCCCCCAGGGCTGTAAACTGTCCCTGTGTGAACATGTGCTAACCTGTGATATCCTGAAGTCCTCGCTCAGGAGAAAGGGACCCCTGAGCTGCAGCCCCCCAGGCCAAGGGGACCTGCCCAGGGCCAGACACCAGGCAGTGCTGCACAGGCACCCAGAGTGGGCAGTGAGAGCTGCTGGGACTCCATAGGACAGGTTCTACTGCCACAGCAAAGCACCAAGGGTGTTACACAGCACATCGTGCTCACATGGGAACAGGAAAACTGCATCCCCTCTGCTCAGGCCAGAAAGTGGAACCTGCTATCTCAGCCAATCCTTCCGAGCTGTTTGCAATTATAGATCTGTCAGGACAGCACCTACAGCCCTGGCATAACCTTCTGGTCAGGCCTGGATGCTCCTCAGGTGCCATAAACCATGACTTGTTAGCCAGGAGAATGTTGAGGCTGGGCCTGCAGTGTTCCTGCAGAGGACCCAGGATCAGTCCCAGGGACAGAGATTTCCCACCCTGAGCATCTCTCCCAGGTCTCAAGGACAGAATCTGGAGCACCTTCCACCTCCAGCAGCCACGTGCCTGATCTCCACCCCCAGTGCAGCCAGGGCAGGGCAGGGCAAAGGGACACCCTGGCATCAGAGTCCCTGGCAGTGCCCAGGGGGAAGGAACGAGCAGCAGCCACGGACTGGGGTGGTGGGAACAAAGCACAGGGAAGGCAGAGATGCATCAGGGACTCACGGTACAAAAATAGTGCTGACTGGTTCAATAAATTTACATCTCTATTTCTGTGAGTGACAAGTGTTTACACCAGACACGGAAGGCACCCCAGGTGAAGCAGTTTTTCGGTATTTGTTTACAATTCTGTGAAAAGACGTACAAAGTGTCAACTTTCAAATCAAAATCGAGCGTTATAATGAGAAATAAATACATACTTTACTATTTTATTGTGGGTTCCTGAACCCTTACAAACTTCAACATATACAAATAGTTTCAAAATGACACTAACACAGAAGAGAGTAAGTCTAGACAGATATAATGATCAGCTAAGTCATTCGTTATGTCATAAATGTTGTGCCTAAAGTACAGAAATCATTTTAAAATGCAATCGATTGGCCACAATATATAAACCAAAATATTTCCTTACTCCAGAACTGTGATGAATGAGTTAAAGCTGGATGATCTGTAGTGCTAAGATACACTCTCCCTCCACAATATCTAACAAGTAGAAACCAGTAAACATTCAAGATTAAAGTATAAACAGTAGAAAAATGAAGGTAGCAATTGTTGTAATAAAAGGGTGCCAGAACCACTTAAACCAGTAGACATCAGGACAGATGTAACATTACTAAAAGTATTTAGACAGTACTACTTTTGGGATTAAAAGGTTACCAAAAGTGGTAAATCAGCCTAGTTCAGAGAGGGTGTTTTCTTTCAAACACATGAAGGTTTTAATTAAATATGTCTATTGAGACATTTGTCCAAAACAATACAATACCCTGAAATTTCCTGTACTCCACACAATAGCCTGGGACAGTCAGAAGAGGCAGATGGTCATATTCCATTCTGTTACTCACATCCAGATGTTATTAAAACAGCTGTAGGGACCAGCCCCAACCAAAAAATAAGAAACCCCCCCACATACTCTGTTACTACAATCTGGCCACTGCTTTTTGAAATGCTCCTATGTCCTCATCCTGAATCCACGAAATAGTTTCCATATCCTCCCATATATGCTAACTGGCTTTTTAAAGTTTTACCCATGAAGTCCATGGGTAAAAAAAAAAAAAAAACAACAAAAAACCAACATAAAACCTTCATTGTAAACACAAAGCTCTACGTTATAAATATGTCAATCATGGTAACTATGTATATTGTATATAAAATTAAATATCTTCTGTTTGCCAAGTATAATTTAAAAAGGACTATCTGTGGCTAGTTATAAAAAAATATTTATTAACCCATAGAGATTAAAAGGCAATTTAACTAACTCGTCTATCCAGCACATATGAAAGAGCTGTACTGGGATTGTGGATTTACCTAATCACATTCCTATGATAAATAGACAACTTTCATTTCTGGGCATATATAAGAACACTTTTGAAACCTGCATATCCCAAAAGAAAATGAGATTGTGTTGATTAAAGGCTATCAGAAATCACAGTGTAAGCAGATTTTTTAAAGATTATTTTTACCATACAATGGTTAAATTATAGACAGATTTAAAAAAGACAACATAAAAAAAAAGAACCAAAACAAGGAAACCCTTTCAGGTTGGCAGCACCACTCTGACTTGGTCAAACAGATCTATCAAGGTGGCCAAGTTGCTAAGAGGGAAAATGATATACCAGGAAAAAACTCAGAGATTTCCTGAGTATTTGGTTAAAATGAATTTATACAAAAATACAGAGAGGAATATGGCATCATTTCTACAAAGTACTTTCAAACATCCCTCTGATTTTTGTGCTGATTTCAGTACCATTTTTAAATTAAAATCCATGCCCAGGACACCTCTGTCTGCACAGACAGAGCCCTCCTGAGCAAACACCTCTGATCCAAGTCTGCCTCTCCTTTAAGAATTGCAGAAGCATCTTTCCTTCTGCTGTTGGGATTTTTATTGTTCAAATATCACTTTGAAAGGACTGGATTGCTAAGAGTCATTCTCATATCTCATATTCACAATCAGATTGTCCCTACCTTTTCATTTACCCTAAATACCTGCTGAGGATGTTTGGCTCCAGAGCTTCCAGCACAAGAACTGTTCTTTATACTCTTTCATGCACAAAGCTGTTCAGTGTCTCAGCTGAGCAGGACAGAGGATATTATTTTCTACACTATCTGAATTGCTATTAAGTTTGGGGTTGGTTTTTAATTATGCCCTAAAAACTTCCTTATTTTAGATTTTTGGTGAGAGTTTTTCCTCACAAAAGAAAACAAGAAGAAATGTTTACAAAGTTCTCATGAGACAAGAAAACAACAGATATAGAACAAGACTAAGGAAGAGGGGGAAAAGGTTGCATCAATAAAACCACATATTAGGTAAGCATTTGCTGTGCCTGCACATGCCCTAAATAGCACAGAGGTGACAAATACCAAATTCATGTAGGGACAGTAAAGTTCATGAAAAACTAGTGGTTCATTCCCTCCTAACAGTCCCAATGCAGCCTGGAGCTCATCAGTTCTGCTGCTGGGATCCACAGCATGGCAAGAACCCCCACGTGTTAGGAAGGGACAACAGTCATGAGAGAAAGAAAACTAAACTATTATCTCAGGGAAGAGTGGAAACTTTCCCTTCCTCTTTGTGGAATCAACAACGAAACACAGACCAATGGAACAACTCTGAGATGCACAGGGACAGAGCCTGGGAAGCAGCACCACACACTGCCCCTTTCACTGAAATGCTCTGGAAGAGGCACCTTACAGGTGAAGGATGAGGAGCTGCTCCCAGGGCACAGAGCACTGCTGCTGTTGTGCTTCCCAGCACAGAGCCCAGGATGAAATACAGACATGGGAGCTCTGGAGCTGGGACCTTGTCTCCCAAAAAAGGCAGAGAGAGAGAGAATCTCTAATTCTCTCAACCTCTAAGCGTGTGGCTTCTACCAGAAATCCCAAACACATGGAGAACACCAGCTCCCTTCCACAATCCCACGGGAATGGAGAACACTTCCCCAGCACAGCCAGGCTCACAAACCAGCAGAGAAGGAAAGAGCACCAGAGTTACAGGGATGGGGACACTGAGTGCTGCTCCTCCTGACACAGAGACACAACGAGGCTGAACAGGAATTGTTATGAAAGCACTGGATCCATGAGGCACCAATGTACAAATCCAGGGAGTACGGGGGCAGGAGGAAGGAATCAGCTTTACTGAGACTCTTCCCTCAGGAATTCCTGGTGCAGCCTTTGCACAGCACAAGGATGTGTGACCCACGAGCTGAGCCTGACAGAGCTGAGCTGAACACAGAGCAGGAAAACACAGATTCCTGCAGTGCTGTACAACCATTCCTATGCCCTTGCTCCAGTCAGATCCTATTGTTTAATATTCTGATATCTGTGCAGAGGTGGCAAAATTCCCAGTCAGTTCTACACCCAGAAATACAGAGATTCCCTGTCTGAGGGCTGGGTTGGACCAAAGACAACTGATCTGAACCGTTTCAGTCTCAAGCATCCCGTTCCTACAAGGTTCAACTGTTTAGCTCTGATTTAGTTCTATTTACAGTGGGGTTTGAGTCCCTTTATGGAGATAAACAGCACTTTTAAGGATTAAAAAAATCTATCCCTCTGTGCTAGCAATTATAAGCAAGACTAACTGTACAATACTAAAATCATCTTTGGTCCCAAATATAAGGAAATTACAGATTTACAGTTGTTTTTGTTTTACAAAGTGAATCAGTAATTTTAAAATTAATGCTCTGCTAAGCTCAAGTCATGATGGAAATAATGGCATTTTCAGCTGAAGAAAACATGTAAAAGCCCTCAAAGCCATTCCAGTATATTATAATAGGTGCCCAAGGATTACACTTTATTGGAAGTGTAACTGTACCACTCCTGCACTTGTCACTGCAGCTAAAAGGTAACTGTGACCTCACTCCAAGGAAAACTCAGTGAAGTCATCCCTTTTCTAGGCAAGGAAAGGTGCAGGGATTTGAAAGACACCAAATTCCTAAATTTATAGAGGGACAAGGCCTCCCACAGCTCTGCCACAACCAGGATGAGCCCAGGGAGCACAGGGGAGGACCCAGGAATCCTCCATCCCATCACTGCCATCAGCCAGCAAAGGGACAAAAAGCCTTTGCCACACATCCCCCAACTTGTGTTCCTTGATTTCAGGTGGGAGTTCCACTCCAAACACATGGATTTTCTGGAGAAGATATTTTGTATTTAGTAGGTGGTTTTGGTTCACTTTTGGTTTTGGTGGGGGATGTTTTGGGTTGGTTTTTTTTGGTTTTGTTTGGGTTTTTTTACAGTCCTTATACAAACTGCTTTAATGCCAGTTTACAATTCCAGTCCAGGTATGCTGTACTACTTTTAAAAAGGTTCTTCTAGGGTTTTTACTGCCAGTTATTAAAAATTGACCAAATCTCTACACACATAAACTCTCTACAAAAGTATCTCCAAACTCTCCCTGCAAACTGTGCCAGGCAGTGCTGACAAACACAGGGCTGGAACAACTCCACTGGCAATAACAAACTCTTACCACTGAACATGGAACTGGCATTTCCTGCTCAAGGAATGCACAGCAACCCTGGTGAGACACCCCCACAATAAAATGCCTCTGTTCTAAACCCAGCACCAGGCTTAGAGGATTCAATCTTCTTTTAAACTGACCCCTTTGGCATTAACTTCCAACAAAGCACAATAAAATGCTACTACAGAACTGATAAACCACTGCTCACTAAGAAAATGCAAATTTTCTTTAAAACCATCAGTAACTCTGAATTTTAATCTCCATCTTAGCCACCCAAGTGAAATGTATTGCAGATGTCAGTGCACTGAAAATTCAAAGACATCACCTCTGTCACCTTTTTTCCCCACACATCAAGATAAATCTCTGCTCTCAATTTGAACACTGCAGAATTAGGGTCACACCTGTCCCTACCCCAGCTCCCTCCAGCATTAAAAATCCCAGGCACTTCTACTGATCTCCTGGTTGGTGTAACCTGGATTTCATGGTTAAAACACAACCTATTTCTTAAGGCTCCAGGTACCTGCAGTCACCCCCTGCAGAGTACAGCTACATCAGAACACAGATTCAGGCATACATGGCAGACAGTCACTCAGTCCCACTAATCCCATGGATTTTCATATTCCTCACACCAGAAAGGAATTCAGCTCCAGACATCTCCTCCCCCACAATGTCTTCATGTGACATGCAGGCAAGCAAATGCCAAATAATGAATTACATAGACAAAAATACCAAGCAAAGAAACAGAAAAATATCAAGAGACGTCCTCCTAATAATATTATAGTATTATTAGGAACAGAATTTGAGGTTTAAGTAAAGAAAAATGTAATTCATTCACTGGAAGTACAATCAAAATAAGAAAATTTCAGTTAGGTAAAACTATTTCTAAACAAATCAATACAACCATATTATCTTCCAATTAGCTAAATTCATTTTCCAAAGAAACATTTTGGGGAAAAATCTGCAGAAACATCTACTTCAAAAAAAATTAAATCAGGTTTACCTACTACCAATGGTTTTAATTTTAGAACCACCATCCTTCCAAAAAGAAATATTTCTCTTACATGAATCACAACTTTGCAACCTTAGAAACACTTTATAAGCACATAATTTTTTGCTAGTTCTTGCTTACCCTGGGCTTGGAGAGAAAGCAAGTTCTAGCAAGAACTTCTAGAAATGTTGAACCTTAAAATAAAAAAAAAGGGGGGCAAAAAAAAAAAAGCCATAGCTGGAATTAAGTCTATTGGATGACAACCCTTTCTTTCTCTACTGTGTCCTTCAAACCCCTTTTCTCCACCTGTCTCCCATTTTGGAATGAAGAAGAGAACATATCCCACCGTTAGCACAGAACCACCTCCTTGCACTGGTGCATCCCAAGGACCCCCAGCAACTGCACACGAGTTCAGAGCTGGCCAGGGGCACACAGGAACTGCAGTGGGCACAGGACCCACCCCAAACACACAGGAACTGCAGTGGGCACAGGACCCACCCCAAACACACAGGAACTGCAGTGGGCACAGGACCCACCCCAAACACACAGGAACTGCAGTGGGCACAGGACCCACCCCAAACACACAGGAACTGCAGTGGGCACAGGACCCACCCCAAGCACTGGGAATGCTTTCCAGCTCCTGCAGCCGAGTGTGCCACGGGAGCTCCTGCGGATGGGGCTCTGTGGGGATGGGCAGACACAGTTTGCTGGACAGGGGATGTGGTTGAAGTTATTGCTGTTTGCCCCTCACCTCCTCCTGGGGGTCTGGAATCACTTCTGGTGGGTTCCTCTCCCGTGTGAGCCAAGCCAGGCGTGCTGGGGGGGCTGGTCCCCAGTGTTTGCGGCGGATGAAGAACACGGATCTCCAGAGAGGGAAGGAAACCACTGTGCAGTCAATCCAGAACAGTAACATACTTCAAAACATATATATAAAATATATTATATAAGCTATATAATATATGCATATACATATGTAGAGATCTCGAACGGATCTTCCTTTTGAATGACCATTTCCTGCCTCCAGCCAACAGCTCCTGACTCGACAGCACACACAGGGCTGGGCATCCTCTGCCACCCTCTGATCTTCCTTTTCCTCCGTAAATAAAGAAAAATCCCTTGTTCCACGAGGGAGTCAAGCACTCGTGTTCCCTTTGCAGTCCCCTGGAAGGCCTGTCACGCGTCCAGGCGCTGGATCTCGGGGCGATGAACGACCTCCCTGGACTCTGTCCGAGCACGGATGTAGTCGCTGGTCTGTCGGCTGCTCTGCTGCCTGTTCACTCGCCACTTCCTAACAGCCAGGAACGTGTTCACAGCATACACTGCCATTGCCAGGAAACCAAACACCTACAGCAAGGACAAAGAGTTGTCAAAGATGCTTTTTGAGAACAAGAAGAAAAGCAGTTTCCCAACAAAGTCCTCAGCAGTTTAGTTTTCTGCATTATCTGCACTGACAAATCCTCACGGCCTGCAAAATTGATGCTTTTCTTCTTCAGTGGACTAGAGAATCTGCCAAAGTGACTAAGATCAAGGATCCCAGGAAACAAAGTTCCCCTGACTACCAACATGACAATTAAATCCTGGAGGAAGACCCTCTTGTAAAGGAAGCAGTTCTTCATCCAACAGCTCATTCCTGAGGGTGCACAACAGTGAGGGAATGACAGGAGGTGACCAGTCCAGGCCACTGGCCTGGAGAAGGAGCTGCCCTGCAGTTCTTCCTTTATGCTTCTGCAGAACTGATGTATGATTTTCAAAACCAGGTTTGAAAAGAAAATTAAAAAGCTTGCCATCTCAAGCACAAAATTAACTTGCTTGAACTGACTGCTGTAGATTTAAAACCTTGAAGGGCTTCTATACTCACTCCACAAAACAAAAAATCATCTGTAGTGAGCAAATACTCAGCAAATTATGTGTAAACAACTGCAACTTCTTCTGAATTTTTGGGTCTATCTTTTCCATAGGCTTAAAAAACAGAGCAGGATCATCTAAGCTGGCTACAGAGAAAGAAGCAAGGCCAGTTCAACTGTAAAGTGTTCTCTGCAAGCCATTGTTCTGTTTGTTCTTGCCTCAAGCCTTAAGATAAACAGCTCAAAGGACGTTAATACTCTTAAAATAAGAATTATCTTATAGCAAACTGTAAAATTAGAAGTTAATTGTGACGGCAAAGGCAACAGGTGTATTCAATTAATGAGTAAAAGTTAATCTTTAGTTTTGATATGAGTTAGATATAAAGAAGTTCAAATTCTTACCACAGCAGCAATTTCTGCTCCAGTTTTATGGTTTAAAGCAGCAAGTACTACAGAGGCAATGAAAAAGAAGAAAGTGCTGAGTCCAGTGTTGACCAGATCCTAAAAAAATAAATTCATTAGCATTACTAAATGATAATTCTTGGCTTCCTTTTATTAGAAGTGACAACACAGAAGGGTAGAACAAGAACCAGAGCAATGCCTCCTCACTTTCTATGGAGTTGATCACTTGTACAAAAGAAGGCCAAGATTACTGCCCAGGATCAGTGTGCACTGGGCTGTGACCTGAGACACACAGCAGCAGGGCAGCCTCTGCACACATCATTCCATCTCTGCTGGGTTCATACCAAAGGACTGGCAGCATAAAGAATGACTAAAGCTGTTCTACCTCAGCTGGCACTGAAGTAACCTGAATGTCAAACTTGAGCACTCCAGGAACTCCTTGTTCTCTCTCACATCAGCACTCAGGGGCTTTTCTACAAATTTTTGAGCCCTTCACTGTACAAACCTGCACACCCTGTGCCATTTCTGTGAGTAACAGCTGCCTGCATTGTAAGAATACACAGATCTTTACTATTCACTGCCTAAAACTGATGTTTCAAGCAGACACTTTAGAACATATGCACAGCAACACATTCAGAAAACTCTTGTTTTGCTCCAAGCAGAGAAGAACAACTTGCTACACACAATTCAGTGATCCACGTGCTGCACATGTCACTGGTGCTCAGGTGATTATGCCACCATGCCTTACATAAAACAGGCTCATTAACAGAAGGAAGAATTCTGAATGGCAGCTCTTAGCACAATAATAATTATACCATACAAGACTTACCTGATTAGATTTGAGAAAAAAAAATTCAAGGGTTTAAGATAATAGCAGAAACACAGTGGAGATCCATTAGGGAATGTTCAGTGTGTTACTCAGGGCATCTTTCACAAGTTTAAAACATTTGGTCTGGATGGACACTGCACTATCTGCACACTGCCATTAAACTGGGAATACCACTCCCAAACCACAACACAAGAATACCATGGGAATGGAATAACAGGTGAGGTCGGGGTGGAGGAACCAAGAAATGGCAGTTGAGCACAAACATCCTGGAGGAACATGAAATTAGGGAGAAGTGAATATTATCAGAGCCAAAAGGGATGGAAAGAGAACCTGTACACAAGACTGCGGGGCAACTTACAGGCCTGAGTTAAAGAAAAAACCCAAACACACAACAAAACCACACTGAACATGCCAACTCCCACCATAAAATGAAAAAAATCACATTAATTACAATCCAAGGACAAATTGTTTTACTTGACTCCCTTCTCACACATGCAAGGCAGGTTCACTTCCTGATCCTGCTCCTTCACTTACTCATGGTTTTTTATCATTTTAGAAGTCAGGCTAGAAGACTGAAGACATAAATCTAAACTTATTCCCTGGGTATGAATCCATGGCTGTGTTCCAGTTACACGGCACAAAGACTTGGAAAAGCCCAATGTCAACCAGCCACTCCCAAAACACCCGTTTTTCCAGCCATGATCAGACAATGCTTTAGAAAGTAAGTGCAAAACCTGCAAGTTCCTGGTGCTGTGTTATTCCCAGAGAAAACCATCTATTTGAGGGTACTGGCTCAGCAACAGCTGGTTATCAAAATTCAGTGTACCTGGGGACTGTGTGAGGCATCACTGGGGCCTGATCCTCACTAAAAGGGGGACTTTCCCAAGGAATCAGAGAGGAATCCCTGCTCATTGCTATTCCAACTCACATGTCCAGATGTCATGAGCCCAGCAAGACCCAACCTGTCTTATCAAACAGTAAAGAAACAAAGCAAACTGAGGGTCTCAGAAACTCCAACCAACCTTTTATCCCTGCTCAAGCTTACTGAGGCAGATGTTATCTAGCACTGAAGACACCAAACCAAATTAGAATTTTATCAACTGGTTATGGCACTTTTAATTATATAACTTCTTGTTTGCAGAGATAAAACCTTTACATAAACAGAGGCATTAGAAAACAAATGTCATTTCACAGTTTCTCCAAGTATCCCCTCTGCAGCCCTGAGCTGATGGCTCTAACTGTGCTCCTGCAGCTGCCAACAAGAGCTGTGGTCCTCATCTCACAAACCTTTTTTCCACTAGAGGGAAAGTCTCACTATACACAACAGATTCAGACTCAACAGTATTCAACATTTCCATCAAGTCTCTATGTATGTCACCAAGAATTCTGAAACTAAATACTGAGGAGAGGGCAGCTATGTTCTTCGATAATTAAAAATAATTAATTAGTTCAATTCAGTCAAGCCGCGTATTTTACAACAAAAGTACATTTGGCATCTGCAGGAAAGACCTACAGAATAAAATCCTAGGAAAAAATACCTCAGAACTTAGTAATTACAGTAGGCAAGCATCTTGAGATGTGTTGCCATGACCAAAAAAGGGGGAAAAAAAGCACTTTGTCCACTCCTTTGGACACGAGGAGTGTACAGTGGTAATCTCCCCTTTGCAAGGGACACTGGAATGCTGAGTCCTGCTCCAGTATCCATAATTTTAAAAGAATGTTGAAAAATTGGACAGAGTGCAGAGAAAAGCCACAGAAGTTATTTGAAAGGAGGAGAAAATTTCTCACAATTTCAAAAGAAAATATGTGAATGTTGAGTATTTGAATGTTAAAGGAAGAATCCAGTGTTCAAATAATCAAAAAATACAAGCTGTTTTCAAAGCTTAACATCAAACAGCACAACAAAATTAACAGCATAACAAAATTAAGAGCTGCAAAGTTAAGGCATAAGTCATGTTCAAAATGAAGTGAGTTTTAATTTAAGGGAGCAAACCAACAGAACAAGCAGCCAAAGACATGCTTAATATTCTACCTTTTCACTTCTAATCCAGATTGTGTTTTTTCAGAGCCATATTTTGGGCTTTCTTAGTATCATATTTAAAGGCCAAGTGGATGACACATAATGCTGCATGATTTATGATTTATGAGCTCAGATATGTTTATTAATTAACCCTGATGACCTCTAACTTTTTGAGTCTGTCGGCCTGATCACCTTTCCAAAGCATGAGCAAGATGACCAGGCCTCCCCACAACACAACACACATTGTGACCCATCTCCAGGCTACAAACTGACCTGAAGGCTTCTTTGAGAAGTCTGAGATACTGCAGAATATAAAATATATAAAATACTGAATATAAAATGCTTTTTCTAATGTACTTTGATATAAGTACATTAGAAACTTGTCATCATCACTGGCATTGTGTTTGATGGTACTTTTTACATAAGAATAAAGTTTGTCCTTGCAAAGAATTCAACAATGCAAATCTAAAGAACTGATCTTGAGGCTCCAATTTATTCATATCTGCAACTCCATTTTTCCTATTAAGGTCAAACCTTTTTAATGCAATTAACAACTGATTCACATTTGCACAATAAGGCTGGTTTCTTAAAAAGCTCAAACCAGTATGATCTTTTATATCCACAGATCAGATTGTTTAGAGCTTGAGGAGCAATGACACTTACCAGCAACACTGTCCTACAGACATATAATGGGAACATCACAGATGCAAATTTCAGGGGAGGTTTTTAATCCAAGATTTGAGCAGAAAGATAAGAAAAGGAAAAAAAAAAACCCACAATGGTTTTGGACAAAGTCAGAGCAGAAACAAAAGAAAACAAACTACAGCAAGAATTCAAGAAGTAAAGGACACTCCTTTTTTCCACGTAAGAGAAAATGAACAATCGTGACAATAAGAAGAATAAACTAATTGAAAAAAGATGAGCTGTTTCAAATCTGGCCACGATGTAGCTGAAGTTCTTGCTATTATATTTATAGACAAAGTAAAACCACATCACAGAGGTAGAAGAATTTCTGCTGAAATTGCAGCAACCTCATGAGACAGTGTGCTGTGCCATGGAACACTGTGCAGAGCTGCCAGCCACAACACAATCAGACCCAGGAGCTGAATCAAAGCCACTCCAGGCTGCTCCTGCTCCCTTTCTCCTGTCCCAAATGATCTCAAAGGAACAACTCACTTGCAAGTCCCAGAATCACAGAATCACCGAGGCTGGAACAGAGCTCAAGATCATCGAGTCCCATCTGAGTCATTCTGTCCACTCAGCAAGGTCCTGTCAGGCCAAAGGAGGGATCCACAGCCCTATATCTGGTGTCTGTCCCACTCAGAAGGAGCACAAGGCAGAGGAGAGGTCATCACTTGTGGATGAAGATGGGCTGATGCCAAGGTAAGCGTTTTATGCTAAAAACCAGGATGCTTTTGTTCTGCTGTAAAGGGGGGAGACTCCATTCTGTGAGTCTGTGGCCATCCTACATTCTTTCATTTTTAGGGATCTGGGTAGCTTTGGTTCCTGATCAATGAGGATGGAAAAGAGGAATTGGTGCTAAGAACTTAACAGACCTGAAGAGCCTCATTAGGTAACTTATGAAACCCAAGGCACCTCAGCTTTGAAAGCTTCTGCTCAGCCTTCCAGGCTGGTGCTTCACCAGGAAGGGGCTCTGATGCTCAGAGGCTCCAGTAATACCCACATGGCTTTATCCACAGCTCCCCATGGCTTCACACACACAAACTTTTCAGAAATATTCAATAACAATGCATGCTCTGCCTTTGTATTCTGTATTTTGTGGTGAAATAAGCAACCGGGCACTATTTAAAAGGCAGAAAGTGCCATATTGCAACTTGTAGACACAAAAATATGTCATTTAAACTGGTGGCTGCTTTTGTCATTTGCCTTCTGAAATCCAAAAGTGTACATTTAGATGGAGTTTAAAGCAGCTAAATCAATGTAATCTGGAAAAGAAGCCTGCACATTTCAGCAGCCTGATTGTGCCACAGAAGGTGTCCAGGTTATCTTCCACAGCAGAGCCCAAAGCAACATTTCCTTTTAGTTCTGTTTGGGTTTGGTGGTTTGTTTTTCAGTTGGCAGGGGAAGGAAGGGGGAGTGTGGTTATGAATTTTTAATATTTTTTTTTTGTACAATGCCCCTCATTTTTCCTCCAACCACTGCTTTACTTGCAAGGTTTGGGAACTTCCCCCTTGCTTCTATAGAAGTTTTCAGGTTGAAGGTCACAAACACACCAGTCAGTCCTCTAAACCAATCACTTCTGGTCAAACTCTCACAATTTTGCTCTGAAATCATATTATTAAACACTTTTTGAGTATTTTGCACTTCAATTAAAAATTAAAACATGGTTCCTTGAACAAAAATAAGTCCTAGGTAGAAAGAACCAAATTAACAGTATGAGCATGAATTCCCATCTCCTTTTTTCCTTATTTATTTAGGCTTACCCAGCTGTGGGAGCCTGTGTTGAAGCACAGTAATCCTGAGCAATAATCCAGAGGAAATTAATTTTGGCAATTTTTTAAAATTTATAAAATATGCATTTTTGTCCTCAATAGGTATTGCTATTTTGACAGCAGTAAACAGAGAGGTCAAGGGTGACTTACTTAATTTTTCATTCAACAGCTAAGCAAGCCAAAGCAAGTTGTTTTTTTCAAAACAGAAGGGGAAAAAAATAAATTAAAAATAAAAATCTAAATCAAGATTGTCCTGTGAAGGCCCATGAACTACAGCTTTGTGATTCCACCTTCCAGAGCCAAGGCTGGCAGGAGACACTTTGTCATTCTGGCACCACGGGGAATTCTATGCCAACTCCTTCAAGTGTCAGTGCTTGCACACAAGGTTTCACTGCTGCAACAACAGCAAAAAACAACCCTGCAGAGATGATGAAATGGTTCTGAGGCAGCACACAACAGCAGGACTGCTCTGTGTGTTCCCACACACACACACCTGGGTCCCTGGGCACCCTCCCTGCACTGAGTCCAGCCCAACAGCCCAGCAGAACTCCCATTTTGTGCTGGGCCCACTTTAGGCCTCACTTTTGAGGCTGAAATGCTCTCTACATTCACACCAAATACACCACCTGAGTTCCAGTGAGTGCTTCAGAAAAAAAGAAAAACGAAAAAACAAAATTAAAAAATCAATGGTAAGAAATCTCTGGGAAGATGTTTTTTTTTCCCCTTACACACAAATAGTTCATTGCACTGGCTGATCCTGCAGGGCCAGCTCGTGCACACAGCTTGGCTGCCACTTCTTAAGCTCTCCCTGCAGATCAGATGAGATTCAAAGAGTGAATTTTAGAGAGAACAGATCATTTAGCCAAAGCCAAAATTACATCAAACGTTCAGTTTTTAGTTACCAGCTGAGTAACTGGTTAAGCAGGAGCCTCTGCTGTGCTGTGCTCTCCATTCCCCTGACCCCTGTCTCCCTGCAGAATAGGCTCCCTTTGAGCATCAAGGAAATGGAAATTTCCACTGACAGGTTCCCCAGCTTTTGCATTTTTGCATAACATTGACAGTGCTGCACAACACAGACAAGTGACTGTTCTTTCATCTTCCTGAACAAACCAGCCTCTTTCCAACATACCCAAGCAAGGCTCTTTTCTGGCCTCAGCATCTCCAGGTTTCTTGCATGTTTGCCTCAGGAAAATAGGAAAATCACTGGCAAGTCTCTAATTAGGATCAAAACAATCTCTCTTCCCCAAATGGCTAAAAATATGTGTTTAAAAAAAATAGTAAATTTGCCTGTCTGTTAGAGGATCATATACAGATCCATGTTTTCATTCCAACAGTGGGCATCAGGCAATATCCACAAGGCATCAGAAAGAATTCTAATTTTACTCAACTTTTAAAGGAAACAATCCTGTGTTGGACAATGGCAGTTGATGGCCACATACTTTCTAATATGTAGGACCATTTGAAAGCAAATAGTTTCAAATGGTTCCTAGGAATAAGTGTTGTTTCAAAAGAAATAAGTGTTCCTAAATTCAAGACTATTAAATTCCTTCAGGCACTGTAACAGCCTCTTCTCACACAGCTTCTAAAAGCAATGTTTGAGACTTTCCATTACAAAGTCAAATATATTTTTAAAAGCATGTATGTTGATGAATTTATACACAAGCAGGAGTGACTTCCTCCTAAAGCATTCAAAGTCTTGTTCAGAAAGCAACTCCTGCAGTAACTGTGCCACAGACAGAGGCTGCAAATTTATAAAAGTAACCATCAAACACAGGAAAGGAATAAATAATGCCAGAAGCAAATGTATGAATATACATCTAAATTGTAAAGAATAAAATGCCAAAATAAGTAAAAACAAACAAACAAAAAATCAGTCACAACCCTACATTCTTAAATTTCCTACTAACTTGGCCGAAGTGATCTCCCACAGCAGCCTCTGAGCTCACATTCCATATGTTCAACAGCAGAGCTGCTGCAGAATCACAGAATGGTCCTTAATCCTTCTGATTAATGAAGATATTCCTTCACTCCTGGCAGAGTAACAGTCCTGTCACACAAGTGATTGTTAAATCAGTAAGAAATACAGGAAGAAGGATGCTCTCATCAGTTACTGGAAGACACAAGCTTCCAGTTCCCTTCTCACTGCTGGTGGACAGCTTTGGTATCATGATGAAAGAAGCATTTCACCTTCACTAGTTCATAAAAGATTGAGACCTGCAAGACTGTGACAATTCCCTTCCACATCTGTGGATCTGGGAATATGAACTAAAGCAAAGGCCTTTGCAGTGTGTTCCATGTGCTCTTTGGGTTGAACTCTGACTGTGCTGCTTAGGCAGAGCATGACCACTGCCCCAAACCCAAAATACTCTTTTAAAACAAAGGGGAAAAAAAAGAAAAAGAAAAACTCCAACTGGTTGGATTTTTAAGCCCTCCTTTCCCTAAAAATCTCCTAACAGAGTGCTATGCAGAAACAGGTAACACTACCTCAGAGTGACAATTCTTGCCTCTCAAGTACCATCAGAAGTCAGAGAGGTTGGAAGGACCTACCAGTGACACACAGGGATCTGCTGCATCCTCTGAGGAGAGAGGCCCAGAGCTGCATTTAGGCTGCTGCACTCAAGGATGTCCCACACATTGCCAGATGTGGTGGGCACTAACTGTCCCACAGGGATCCACAACAGAGCCACAGGTACAGCTACAGAACCAAGGGTGTGAGAAGTCACTGAACATCCAGAGACACAGCTCCAGCTCCTGCATGGACACCACACACCCCACTCCTGGGGGCACATCCAGAGACACAGCTCCAGCTCCTGCATGGACACCACACACCCCACTCCTGGGGCACATCCAGTGATACAGCTCCAGCTCCTGCATGGACACTGCACACCCCACTCCTGGGGCACATCCAGAGACACAGCTCCAGCTCCTGCATGGACACCACACACCCCACTCCTGGGGGCACTGAAAAGGTCTTGGTCAAACTCACTTTGCACATAAGCCAGGTATGTATTCCCTGTGGATCCACTCCCATCACACCAACAAGAACAGTATGGGTTTATGGACACTGCTGCACTTACACACACTTGTTCTGCTCCTGAAAATCCTACCAGCATGTCCAGAACTTTTGCCATAAAAGATGGTCTGCAGTAGTTGCTGTGATGCTCATGGCACACCCAGGCTGGCAACAGAAACACAGAGCACCTCCTCCCTGCTGCTCTTCAGCTTGGCTGCAAAGGTCTGTGGTGCCAACAGAGGCAGAATGAAAACCAAAGGAACAAGGGCAAGACAACCCAGGAACATTCCAGGGGTTCCACTGGTTTTGCTTTGCAAGCCACCTGGATCTGCCCCACCTACAGCCCCCAGTTACAGCTCTCAGCCCATCTGATCTATACACCAAGACTCTTAGGAGTTCATCAATAGATTATGCAGCCCTAGAGCACAAAGGATCATTTAATTTCACATTCCACTCTCATTTTAGACAAGTCATTCAGGCTTAGAAATGAAGCAAATTGCAACATTAATAAATTACATTAAAAAAATTAACAAAAAAAATCACACAGAAGCCTAAAAATGTCTGAGATGCTAACAGTATTTATATAATTACTGTTATAAAATAAAACATTGGCACAACTGTATCTATACTGTCCAGAGAAGTTGATATATTGTCCTTGAAGCTGACTGATCTTTTGCTAGAGTGACTTAACATGTTGATTTTGTGACCTGTGTTTATGCAACCCAATCTGAAAGTTTAACTCCTAATACAGCATGAAAATAGAGACTTGTACGACAGGAATGTGCACTGCCAGCAGTTCTCCTCCTCAGCCTCCTCAGATCTGAGGACACATTAAGCATTGGCAGTCAATGTTTAATAGTCATGTGTGTAAGCAATTCAAAACACCTGATTTTCACAGAAAGCACATCATTTTCTACACTCCTGCCCGATGATTGTATTAATCTGTGTAAGAAAATATATGTAGCACATTTGTCCTAATATAAAAAAACCCCTAGGTTAAGAGAACAACAGGCTACTGTAAATACAGCATCTGTCAAAGTTAAATAACCACAGGCTGCATTTTTATCCACTTCATCCACAAAGGATAATTGCTGGCAGTTGCAGGAAGTTTTTCCTTCCAAAGAGAATCTACCAGAAGTCAATTTTAGTTCTATTTAGTGTAGTTTAATCTTGCTACATTTCAAAGCTCATGCTGCTGTTGGATTCAAAATAAATCTAAGTACAATGCATACTTTACTCAGCACAAAGGACACTCACACACAACCTTAAGCAACGGCTAAAAGTAAAGTTCAAAGACCAAACTCAAGCCAGACTTGCAGCTATTTTTAACAGAGTGAAGTGGAGGAACTTACAGTGAGATTCCAGTTGATCTGTGGTATCCTCGTGTGAAGGTTCAGGCTGAAGAGAAGCAGGAGAGCCCCGGTGACCACGAGGGCACTGCAGCTCACAAACTCAAAGAAGTACAGGCCCTCGCAGGGGGAGCACTCCATGATGGTCTCGATGCAGATGAACGCTGTCAGAGCCAAAACCTGGGAAGGAAAACAAGGGGAAAAAAATAAATAGATTTCCGCGTTCTGAAAGTAGCCACAAGTATTCCTGAAATTTCCATTGGGAACACCATCAGCTTGCACTCAGGAATGCATGATTTTAGTTTACAACAGGGCACTGTCTAAGGAGCAGAAACAAAAGCAAATCAGTGCACGACTCTGGGGGTTTGTCCTGTTCAACAAAGGGCATTTTAGCAAAATTAACAAGGAGTCAAAACATCAAAATGGCCAAGACACCCCAAAAAGCAGGAAACCCCTTCAGGCCACTGGCTCAACATGCAAACAGCACCTCAAACATTTTATTCCATTTTCCACTCGTGATATGCTGTTCCAGAACTGGAAGATGGAATGCATTTGTCTACTGGGCCAACCTCAAGCACAATTACATAATATCAATGTCATGTGATTGTGAAAGACATTTCAATGAAGATATTTCTTATAATTCACTACCAGCTGAGATCTAAATCAATTCCAAATAGAACAGATTCAGGATCTCCACCAGTCTCCAAAAATGCCTGCCTTTTTCAAGTTTATCATCATCAGTATGCTGTATTTCATATAAAAACATGTTTTATCATTCCCTTATACAACAATAAAACAAGCAGCTCATAGAGGAAGGAAAACCTCCTAGGGCTGCAAACACAAACATGTAACTGGGATAATGGTTGGTGACACTAAATTCAGGAGATATCTTGGCAGAGTTGACACATGCAGACTTTGACAAGACAAGAGTTTAATTCACCATTTAGGATAAAATGCAAACTCACTATACTTTAAAAAAGTCTGCCCAGTGAACAAAACTAAACTATATAAAAATAAAACCTCAATACGAGCTACCACTGAGAGCCACCCCAGAGACACCATGAGATCCCCCTGAGAGCACCACAGAGCACACAACTCACACAGTCTGGGTCAGTCCTCCTGAAATACAACTGGGAGAACAAAAACAGTGCCACGGATGGTTTGGGTTTATTGTTTGGGTTTGGTTTTTTTTTTTCATTTTCTAGGGCAAGCAAAGAAGTCCTTCAGACTGTTTTGCTCTGGGTTTCAGGACAACCACTCCAACCCACCCACTTACATTTTTCAGAAAGAATTCTCTTCTTGCTCTGCCACAATATTCTAATGAGGCTGGAGAAGTCACTTCAAGTTGAGGATGTGAAACAAAAGGAGATGGTTTCCTCAGAGCTAAATATTCCACAATTTAAATGCTTTGTACAAATAAAAGTTTAAAAGATGATAAAAACCATAATAAAAATCAATTTCTGCTAAATCCTTCTTGGCCAATTTCAATGTATGCTTCATCCATTAGTTTGTCTTTGATTCCTATGACAAAACTAACAAAATGAAGATGGATTTTGAAAGAAGTTACAATTTTTGTCACCAACACCAACAGTAATTCTAATTAAAGCATAATATCCCTCCTGCTTCATTTGCCACATACAGTAGCAAATTTAAGTTGAAAAATGGATTAAAACAAAGCAAAACAATTTTAATAAGAAACCTCACACTTGGTTGGAAAGTCTCTCATAGCTCACTGGGCACATGCTCTTGAGGAGAGCACATGCCATACTAATTTCTGTCAGCTAACAGAGCAGGGCAATTCCCATCAAACAAATTCTGAATGTATACCCAGTGAATAAACACTTCAGATTTTAATCTTTGACACTGAATAGCTCCAGAAAAAAAGATCATGCAGTGAAATGGAATATTCAGAAAAGCAGAATCAAAGTCAAAGTATGATTTCAGCAATGACACACATACCAAAAAACCCTCCTGTTCAGAACACAGCCTGATTTTAAAGTATTAGCATGTAATAATATTGGCATGTAATTAGCATATCTGTGAACGCAAGCCTCATGACTAAAGATGACACTGAATACAATTTTCAAAAGGTAAAGCTCTAAAAATCAATCTTAGCAGTTCCAAGCAGGATCAATGTCATGTATTAATGCTAAATATTAGCCAGCAAAACTTGAACTTTCAGATGTTCCAATATAATAAAAGTCTCTATTTTTCTTGCCACTATTTTGGATCTATTATGACACTTGTAAACTTTTTATTCTTTTAGCAGAAATGCTTCTGCAATACTCACTAGAAATACTGTAGGACAAGCCCCAACAATAGTAGGTTCATTATCTCAAAACATGAACAGCTCTGAATTGTGCTGCCAACACGAGGTTGTGTTGGCCAAAATCTCTGGCACCCCAGTGGCTGTGCTGGGCAGCTGGAACTTGGCACGTGGAGTCTCTGCTGTTCTGCTGATAAAAGTCCCACCCTGACTCTTCTCCACACCAGACAGCACAGCTTCTTCAAGGCCAACACACCCATCGTGGCTATCAAAGCTCAAAAAAGATCAAAGGGTTTCTTGCATCCAGCATTAGAAACTAATTATGTGCTGAAGAGGCACTTGGAGCAATGAACTCTAATAATCATGTCATATTTACATATTCCCAGGCTCCGAATTAAGAAATTCCAGAGCAATTCTACCTTTGGAGTTCATTTTATCCCTTAACAAACTATAAACACATTCACCTGTGACACACCCTTGTTGGTTGTGTACACTTAGGTTTGACTTAATTAAACCCTTTCTGATGGAAGTAAAGATGTGCCATGAGTTTAACCACATCCAGCAGCACCAGGGGACAGAGCTCTGGGGTCTGCTGATCTGCTCAGCAGAGGCTGGGAGAAAACCTCACCTCTGCAGTGTGTGCTGGAGATCCTGGCTCCAAACAGAGGCTGTTCTGGAACATGCACAGTGACTGACCCTGCACAGAACATTGTCACCGAGGGCACTGGCACCTGAACCCCTCCTGGTCGGGGGACAGGGAGGGGACAACACTCCCACACACAGTTTGCTTCCAGCACTTCGGTGCTTCAAGTAAGAGTCCAACTAAATGTGTTACTGTTTTTCTTGCAATAAAAATACATCTCACCCCTCTCAAAGATTATCCACCCTGCCAGTGCTACGGTGCTTTCTGTCACCTGCCCATTATTTGTCTTACAACAAAGCTATGCAAAAAAATGAAATCCAAATTAACCACTACATCAGAAAAAAGCTACCCTCTCACAGAAACTTCCCTTTTCCTAATCACAATAAAAATCTCAGTCTTCAAAACAAAATCCTTTCTCTTTGAAACATCAGGATAATCTTGTTCTCCTACACATTTATGAACTTGCCAGCAGCATCCTTCCAATTAACTACAAGTAATACGAATCTGCTATTAAAATATACCAGTTCCACTTTCACTGACCATTCCCTCAAAGATGAATCTAATTTTCTTTTTAATAAAGAAGCAAATCACCCTGAACACATGAAATGAAAGTGAAATACATGGGGTTGATTCTACAACCCCACGACTTACTCAGAGAGCTACAACACTCTGAAGTGTTGTGTAAATGCCACCACTTGAGCCAAAGCAGCTTGTCCAAGGTCACAGCCCAGCCAGTGAGCAAGTTCATTGAAAAAAAAAAGAAAAAAAAAAGAAAAAACAATGTGTTATTTATTTTCTCAGTATTTTTAAATTTATGGAACAAGTAATTTATGAGACAGGGTACACAGATGAGGCAGTGAATTAACACAGTTCTGCCACCCAGATACCCCTTATGACACGGCCACAGCAGACTGAGGTTGCCCACTGCAGACACACCAAAATTCAGGCTAGGGCTCAGCTCCCCCATCCTATTTTCTGAGGGACTTCGGTGCAGGTTCAGTGCTAATTTTCTCCTGTTCCCACACAGATCTTTGTAACTATAATGAAAACACCTTCTTTCTCCCCTATGTTTATCTCCACTCCCTGTCTGACCACCAAACAGGCTCATCTACACACAGCTCACATCTCACCAAGGCTCAAAGAACTAAAAAGTCACTTCTCCAGAGCTTCCTACGCTCTTCCCTCTGCAACACCACACATCCAAGATCAAACTGGTGCCACGCTGGCTACACACACTGCCCTGGGAAGAGCAAGGAAGGACCAGGGCCCTGCAGCCCCCAGGAAGCCCCCACGCTCCATCCAGAGTGGCACTGCCCCGGGTGACAGGCACAGAGCTGCACCACAGACCCCTCCACTGCCAAAGCTCTGCCCTTGCTTTGGAACACTCAAGAAACCAAGATCCAGGATCCTGTGTCTGCCTCCCACCACTGCAGTTCCAACACCAGCTAAAAAAAATCAGAAAACCAAAGAAACAGCATTGTATCAGAGCACAGGCCTCAGCCAACAGCACGCTGGCATTTGTCCAACACGGGAGACAAACCCCCCACTTTCAAATCACACGTCTTTTCATAGTTCAGAGTGATGAGATTTGACAAGTTTTTCCACAAGCAGAAGTTTCAAGGTTGGTTTACCAAGGAAAAACGAGAAGTTGAATGTGGTGGAGGTCTCCTCTTACATGAATTACTGCTCTCTCCCACAAATAACACAGCTACAGCTTTCTCAGGCCCAGGCAACCAAGCTAGTTTTCTCTGATGGATGAAACAAACCTTTTCATCGGTTTTTCTCCACACCAAATACTTAGGAGAGCTTTTTATTTCACCCCAATTCTTCCAGTACCCTAAGATTTGTATAGCACTCTTTTATTACTGTATTTCTCTCTTTAACATTTGCTTTTGGTTTCTCTTCTACTTCCACTCTTCTTGAAGTAACTCCAGTGGATATTGCACCAGAACACAACTTAGTTGTGATGGAAACATCTGCTCACCACCCTGGATGCTCAGCTCCATGCAGAGGCATCCTGGGCTCCCTGCAGTGTCACCTTTGTCCTGAACAAAGAGATGCAGGAGTGTGGTCACCAAAGCAGGACCCCAAAGAACGGGGTAAGCTCAGGATAAGCTGAGCTGGGTGTGCCCAGCATGTGAGTGCAGCTCCAGCTCTGGGACAGAGCAAACACATCCTGCCCTTCATCCACCACCTCCCACCACCACAGAACCAAAGGCAGAAGGAAAAACCTCCAAGTGGAGGAATAAGGATGAGATGTATTTCCCAATAATGACTTTCTGTGCTTTTAGCCTTGAATAAACTGGCAAACTGTCACTCGGTGTCACGTTTGGGATGTCTGGCACTGCCAAGGTAACTCAGGCACAGTGCAAGGCTCTGGCACTTGCATCAAACAGCACTGAGTGCAGCTCACCAGGAGAGAAACAGCCCCTCACTGGAAGGGAGGAAGAGACCACAATTTGGGGCCATGGAATTCCTAAAAGAGAGCCTCTACACTGGGATCCAATGTCCTTAAAGTCAGCCACATTAGACTCCTACCATGACTGTATCCATCTAAGCTTTCCTGCAACTTCCCCTGGAGAAGGGCCCTTAATGAAGAAATCATCTGCCCCAGGGCTCTGTAAATGGCTCATATTTACATCACTTTCTTGGCAACACAGGCACATCAGACATAAAACACCATATCTCCCCAAAATGGAGAAAATGTGTTGTGACAGGCACCAACCCTGAAAAAAGAGCTTTTAGGAGGTTGCTAACGGTGTATTTTTCCTGTCAGAATACCCTGTGTTATATTTTTGAAGAAAATAATCAAAGAACTTTGCACTCAAAAAAAAGACAGTTCTGCAATGAAAACAAAGTAAAAAAATGAGTTTTCCTGTTTATCTAAAACATTACCACAGAAAGCCTTATTGTGTGGTTAAATGACATAATTATGCATGATTTCCAAAAAACCACAGAATGGTCAGCATTTTTTCTGCCTGAAAAACACCCACAGAATTTTAGGAAGAATGTCACACCACCAAGACATTTTTACATCCAGACTGTTTAAATTAATGGTACACCAGAATACACATGCAGAAAATAGGGAAGAAATATATTGCTTTTACACCACTTAAAGTATCTGAAGACATTGGACTTTCTTGAATTAAAATCAAGATTTATTGTTCTCATTTACTTGGCCCAGCAGTCCCAACTTTATGCATGAAACCAAGTGGGTCTCATTCCTTGCAAAGCACACGCATTTCCCACATCTAAAACAGCTGGCACAGATATGAGTATTTGGGATCATATGGCTTAAACACAGTCCTGCTCCTCCTGCAGGAAACCATCCTTTCCCCTAAGCAGGAGAATGACTGATTTCCTGCCTGCTCCTAGTCTGCATCCTCAGGACTAAATGAAATGTGCTATTAACTCTGGTAATAGGACTGCAAGGAGCCTTAAATCACAAAGGAGCATTGAACTTTCCTTACAAGATAGTAAGTTTAGGAAAACAAGGCTTACCAGAGAGGGAAGCTTAAGCACATCCATGATTCAGCACCCTGGATAAACCAAATTGCGCTCTGATGGCACAAATACAACACTGAACAAACCCCCAGAAATTCAACCAGGCCTCTCAGTGCAACTCTCATCCAGTTTTGGTGGTGATGGCAGAAGGAATAGCAAAAAATTTGGATTTTAGTTCTTTGTTGCACCTCTGGTGTCTTATATGTAGCTGCAAAGTGTGCATTATTTCTCAGTTCACATTTGGCTGTAACATGGCAAGACATGTAACATGGCACATTAAATACTGTGGAATCCTTACTAAATTAGCTGATCTTTAGCCACCTCCAGCAGTTTTCTATAAGCCTTGAAAGATTCAGCTACTGCCTGTCAATTTAGGCAAAAGACCAATTCTAAATACAGAACATACTGCTGAGCCCAGAACAGTTTGAGGGGTACTGGGAGGAAGGGTCGTATTTGGGAATGAGGGTAATCAACACTCAAAGCTCACACAAGGGCATGACAGTTGTTTTGAAGCACTAAGGACACCAAAACCGAGCTTATTCTAAAAACCAAAATAATTACCTGGACTGAACTGAACAGAAGAGATTCTCAATTGGCTAAAACAGAAATGCATCAGTTCTAAAAGTGAGCTTAATCACAGGATCTAGAGCAAAAAAAAAAGCTACAGACACAAGGTGGTGACTTATTTCCTGCGAACTGTGCACTAGTGCAGTGTTTCACTTATTGCTTGGACACACTTATACAACATTCTTATCTGCTAGATAAATGTAAAACCAATTGCACTTCAAATATCATTAAACACATGGTAAGTTTTAACAGAAAAAACATAGTTCTTCCTAACAAAAAAACCCCAATCAAACAAACAAAATCCAAACAAAAATCTCACGCTGACTGACATGTATTTCAGGTTTTATCCAACAAGCAGATGACCAAAAGAGCCACACAACAGAATCTAAGGCACATTGCAAGGAGGTATTTGTTTTAGGCACACAACATTTCCTCACAGAATCCTGAGGGTCATGCAAACATACCTTCCAGAGTAGACAAAAACAGAATGTAACATGCCACCTGTTCCATAAACAAAAGACCACCAGCAGTTAGTTTTTAGCAACC